TGTAGGGGTCTCAGAGTGGGGTGATTGTGTGAATGTCAGAGTGGAGTGAGAGTGTGTGTGGGTATCAGATTGGTGTGAGAATATGGGGGTCTCAGCATGGTATGAGAGTGGGGGTCTCAGGGTGGGTTGAGGGTGTGGGGAGTGTCAGAGTGAGATGAGCAGGTGGGAGTCTTGGTCCCGGCATGGAGCACAGGACAGACAGGAAGACAGATCCTGGCTCTGCTGCAGGAGCTTAGTGCAGGGGTGAGAATCTACTCATGGGATGTGTCCTTCGTGGTTGGTGGCATCAGGCTCTATGTCATGGGCTGTGACCTCTGTCACAAAGTAGAACAGCAAGTATGTGACCTGCTCTCCTGAGACCTGTCCTGCCTAACTCTGGAGCACCCGCAGGTCTGAAGGCATCTACAGGGCCTAGCACCCCACTCCCAATGGACAGGGTCCCCAGGCCAGATCCTAGGCTGGCAGAGCCCTGGACAGCAAGCAGGGACCCCTGTCCAGACAGCAGGGACTCAGGAGGAGACACTTGCCCTCCCCTCAGGTGGCAGATTTCTCTTGGTGGTTCAGTGCAGATCAAAGGATGCTTCTGCCCTTGAGCAAGGAGGCAGAGGCCCATCCTGCTGTCAGAGGAGGTGCGTGGCCTGGGAGGGAGGGTGCTGTAGCTCCCTCTCCCCTGGCAGGAAGAGGCAGGGCCCATTACAGCAGCCCAGGCAGTGCAGGGGGATTGTGAGGGTGCAGGGTGGTGATGGGGGGCAAGGCCCAGGAGCCCTGCTGTGCTCACGTCCCCAGGATAGGGCCCTGGGACCCTGTGGATGCAGAAGGGGCACCCTGCAGGCTCTCTGCAGGCCAGCCTGGAGGGGACTGAGACTAGGGAAGGGACACCCACACTTTAGCTGGTGGACACTCAGCCGGGGAGGGCAGGGTTGCAGAGGGAGGCCCCTACCCGCCATGCAGCCCCTGCTCTGGGCACGTCGGCGGTTCCACCGAGTTTCCAGGAATGGGTTTCTGGGATTTGGAGCAGGTTCCCAGGATCCTGGTGGGGCCCAGTCAAGCACTTTCCAGTGGGCTGTGTGGTGGGCAGCGTAGGACAGACAGGAAAGGAAGATCCTGGCTCTGGTAGGGAGGGGCCCTGGCACCTGGCTTGGCACTGGGCCTCACCAAGAAGCCTCAGAACCGGGGTGGGTGTGCTGGTGACTCAGAGAGGAAGTGAGCAGGCCCATGGGAAGGGGACAGTGCAGCGATGCCACACGTGGTCGTCATGCTCAGTGCAAGGTCTTGGGGAAGGTCAATGCAAGCAGAGCTGCCATTTTCACTTAAGGGATATGAAATCTAAAGATCAGGGGTGGGTGTGGGTGGAATATTTCTGTGCCCTGATTCTCTAATGGACTGTGGACCTGGAGTTCTCTGGGGGCCACCATGCAAGAAATGGGCCCCTTCCCCCAGCCCCACCACTAAGGATCCTAAGCAACCACAGTCACAGGGTTTGGGATATTCTTCCCTTTCCTGTTCAGGGGGATTCTATGCTCCCCAAGGCAGCAGGAGGAGGCAGAGGGAGGAGGCCAGCCTATGAGGCCTTTCTCCACCCCACTCCTCCAGGTCCTTCCTAGAACCAAGGGGCAGGAGCCCATGGCTGGTGTGTCCCAGGCTCTGGACACTCAGTGGCCACTCCAGGCATGTGACACCAGCACCCCCTTATGATGGGGAAACTGTTCCCCAACTCAGGGAGGCTATGTCAGGGTGAACATCAGACACCTGCTCAAGTTCATCCAAGGCTGGCCTTGGCCCATCTGGGCCAAGTCATGGGGCAAGTGCAGGGCAGCAGATAGGTGACCTTTTGGGTGCTTCTGACAACCGTAGGAGGACTCAGCTTCACCACAAGACTGCCCTGAGCAGCACAGAGAGGGCCTGGGCTCTGACCCATGGGAGGTGCAGGGTGGACACCTTGATCTCAGATATGAGCCTGAGATGGCACCTCAGGCTGATCTGGGCAGGACCTCCAGAGTACAGGATGGGCCGATGATGCCCACAGGATGCAGGAGGGAGACCAGGGCTCCCCTGCTGGCCAGGAGTTCTGCTACCAGCCGTCCCTGCCAAGGAGGAGGTGGAGGGCCAAACGAAGGGACCTCTTGCAGCCAGGGCTGGGGGTTATTGGGGGCAGCTGACCAGCCTGGGCTTTGTCCTGGAGCCAGGCCTTCTCATCATTAGGCTGGCCAGGGCTGCCCTCAGCATTCACATAGTCTTTGGACCCTGCCCAAGATTTGAGCACTGAAGGGCAGGACTTGCTCAGCTGGGGACTGGAGGTGGACAGAAGGTGGGGCCCTGGAGAAGAGGGCTCTAGAGATGGGAGGGGGTCTGTCCCCAGCCCTGAGCCAGCTCACTGTGTAGGCCTGGGCCCACTGAATCTGTCTGAAGGCCTCAGTTTCTCCCCACCCATCCCGTGGGCAAGGTTAGTCCTTGAGACTGACTTGGAGCTCTTTACGGTTTCTGTGACTTCCTTAGGATGGGGAGTTTCAGGTGGATGTGAGTGGAGCTCCCTCTTCCCACACCCTGGCTAGAGTGGGCAGGACTGGGGCAGGCGGGCCTTCCTCTCTGCTGACCTCTGTCCTCCTTGGCTGCAGTGCCAGGACCATGAATGACACTTGTGGCTCGGGCATGCTGGCCTTGCACCTGCCGCTCGGGCAGTTCTCCTACATCTACCTGGGCACACTGCTGGTGCTGGGCCTGCTGCTCAACGGCCTAGCCCTCTGGGTATTCTGCCACCGCATGCAGCAGTGGACGGAGACCCGCATCTACATGACCAACCTGGCGGTGGCCGACCTCTGCCTGCTCTGCACCATGCCCTTCGTGCTGTACTCCCTGAAGGACACCTCCGGCGACACGCCGCTGTGCCAGCTCTCCCAGGCCACCTACCTGGCCAACAGGTACATGAGCATCAGCCTGGTCACGGCCATCGCTGTGGACCGCTACATGGCTGTGCGGCACCCGCTGCGCACCCGGGGCTTCCGGTCCCCGCGGCAGGCCACGGCGGTGTGTGCCCTCCTCTGGGTCCTGGTCATCAGCTCCCTGGTGGCCCGCTGGGTCCTGGGGATGCAGGAGGGTGGCTTCTGCTTCACAAACCGCTCCCGGCACCACAACAGCACCGTGGTATTCTCACTGGTGGGCTTCTACCTGCCTCTGGCCGTGCTGGTCTTCTGCTCTCTGCAGGTGGTGACCGCCTTGGCCCAGAGGCCAGCCACCGACACGGGGCAGGCAGAGGCCACCTGCAGAGCTGTCCGCATGGTCTGGGCCAACCTTGCCGTGTTTGTGGTCTGCTTCCTGCCTCTGCACGTGGTGCTGACGGTACGTGCCGCCCTGGGCCTGCAGCCCTGTGCTGCCCTTGAATGCGCCCTCTTCTTCACAAGCAAACTCTCAGATGCCAACTGCTGCCTGGACGCCATCTGCTACTACTACACCGCCAAGGAGTTCCAGGAGGCGTCTTCCCTGGCTGTGACCCCCAGCGCCAAGGCCCACAAGAGCCAGGACTCCCTGTTCGTGACCCTCTCATAGGAGGTACACAGTTGCACAGCAGCACCGTGGACCAGGGGTGGGGTCGCCAGAGGTGCCTCCTCTCAGGGGAAGCTGCAGGCAGCAGCCTGAGCTCACTGTGGGCTGGGGTCTCTCTAGCAGCCCCAGGGCCTGGGATGACCCAGGGGGAGGATCAGAGATGAGAGCAAGAGGACTGAGGCCTGAGCAAGGCCAGCCTCGGGAGCTAGGGCCAAGCCACATGCCTGCCACTCTGGACCTGGCACACCTGGGCCAGGTGGGTTCCTGAGAAGTGGGGCAGGACCTGAGGTCTAGCCTCCTGCGGGGGTAGGTATAAAGCCTCCCTGGAGTCAGACTGGCAGGGCCCTCTATATTGTCCACAACCAAGTGGCAGGAGGTAGGAGGCAGAGAGAGGACATAGGGCTACAAGGGCCAGGGAACATCTTCCTGGAAGACTCTCTGTAGCTCCCTCCTTGGGACCCTCTTCAAGCCCTGTTTCCACTTCCCACTCCTCTGGAGCTATAGGGGCCATTTGCAGCTCTTGGCAGGACTGCAGGGGGTGCCCACCCCCAGCTTTCTGTGGTCTGGGCAGGGCTAGGACTGGCCCAAGCCTGTGCAGAGGCCACACAGCTATGCCAGGGTGGGTGACAATGGTCAGGCTGATCAGAGGGGCAGTGAAGGAGGCAGCCGTGTCTGTGAAGGACACGGTGCTCCTGTCCTTCCTTCAGGGAAAAGCCAGAGCCACATCTGGCAGAAGCAGGGGCAGGGGGCCGGCCCAGGCAAATGCAGGAAGTTTAGGCCTCTAAACTCAAGCTGGAGTGACTAGAGTTTTCTGGAGGACTCCTGTGGGTGCTGGATTGAGGTGGGCCTGGGCAAACCCTGACTCTGCCATCTCACACTGTGTGCTCAGGCAGCACCCCAACCCTTCTGCGTGACTGGAGCAAGACAGCAGCCATGTTCTGCCAGGGCTGGCCTCATGGGCACAAGGTGGAAACATCCCACCTTGTGGGATGCCAACAAACAGGGAGCCAAGTAAAGAAGGGTCCAGGCTGAGGAGGGTCCAGGCTCAGATGGCCCCCTACTTTACTTCTTTGCTGTCTTGAGCCTCTTGATTTTTGAAAGAGACGCTCACGTTCTCATTTTGGTCTGGACCTGCAGACCCTGTGGTCTGGGTCATGGTCTGCTTAGAGCTCATGCACAGGATATACAGACAGTTTGGTCTGGTGCATGGGGTCCATGGGGCTCTGGAGTCTCTGGGCCCCAGGCTTCAGGCCACATGTGCCTCCATCAGGGCTTCTGGGCAGCTGGAAACACTCCAAGGGCTGAGGCTTCAGGGACAAGAGGTCAGGGGGCAGGTGCATTTAGGAAGGGGCAGAAGGGAAACAGCCCTGGGGTCCTCCCACTCTGTCCCATCCTCCATCCCCAGAACTCCTGCCTCTTGGCTGAGCCAGATCCTTCCAGGACTTTGATGACCTTCAGGGAGCAAAGTCGGACCGGCCAGTCTGAGCCTGAACTTCCTATGTCAGGGTCCTGGTTCACCCCCACCACTGCTCAGTCATCCAGGCACTGGCTACCTGGTCTAGCCATACCTGCTCCCTCAGCCCAGGCCTGCCCACTGTCTGCAGGGACTGAGGGAAACCAAAAACTGGCCTCCTAGGCCCCTCCTGCTCATGCACCCCTCGTCACAGGGCATGTAGGCCTGATGCCACCCACCCACAAGGGGCTGGCCTCACTCCCGGCCCTCAGACTCCCTCTGCCTGGAAGGACTCCGCATGGGGGCCCCGGTCCCTCTCCCTTCCTCAGGTTCCCAAGCCCTCTGTCACCCTGCCCAGGAGTTACTCTCCCCAAGCCCTTGGTCTGCGGCAGTTGTGACCAGTGATCAAGCAGTGACCAATGAAGCATGGGTGGGGTAAACACCTACGTGGACCTGCCCCCCTCCTCCCTCCATTATGCCCCACCCTCTGGGAGAGTGACCCTGCATGTCCCTGGGAACAGGCAAAGACCACCTTCCCTTTAAATAGGTCTGGCCCTGTGACTGGCTCCCATCCAGTGATTCCCCAGTGCTTCTGCACAGGAGTGGTCCTCCAGACCCTGCCCCCTGCTCTGGAAACTCCTCCCTACTCTCACCAATACCCAGCTCTTTATCTGTGTCCCCACCTTTCACTACCCACGCCCTGTCAGAGAGACGGAAGTCTGTGGAACACTACCTATGGGAGGACAAGACTCTGCTGGGCTGGCCAGCTGAGCTGGGGCTGAGGGCAGATGTCCAGTCCTGTCTCTGGCTAGATTTGGGGACCCAGAGAGACAGGTAGAACTGAGCTCGGTCCTACCCAGTGCTGGGGGACTGAGGAGAGGGGGCACCCAGATGGCTAGTGTAGACCAGTGCTGGCCAAGAGTTTATACAGAGAGGTTAACTGGCAAGGTGGAATAGCTTCCCAGAGCCCTGGCTAAAGGGGATTCTGAGGCTCCCTCTGGGCTCATGGGTGCAGTGATGAGGCTGCCTTCACAGACAGGAGACCGGAGCAGCAGGACAGCTGTGGGCACCGCCGCAGTGGCAGAGGCACCCTCAGCTTTCCAAGCACCCACAGACCCTGAGGGTGAAGAGTCCCCGCAGGCATGTCTAGGGGTGGGGGTGGGCACACGCATTCTCTCTCCCTCCTGCCCCCTCCTGGCTCCAGCATGGCAGAGGCAACTAGACTTTTGCAAAAGCCCTGAGAAACACCGAGAGGACACCAGAGACAGAGGTGCAGACACCGTCAGCCCCCCAGGAACTAGCTATATAGCCCTGAGCACAACTCACATGCTCTGCACACCCACTCCTGGGCCTCCCTGGCTTCTCCCTCACCACAGACCAAGCACAGACCCCCTAGTTGTTCGGGCAGCCTGGTGGTTCATCACCACCAGCGTCACCATTAATCAGCAAGGAACAGGTGTCCAAAGGAGAAGGTCTCGTTCTCAGGTTGCATAAGCCAGGGTGTAGATCTGGGATGTGGGTTCCCTCTATGGGAGTGAGCCTGGGATGTTTTACCGGGGAGACGCCTTTCTGCTCAGGGCCCACAGTCGCCCTGACAGGAGGAACAGGTTGGCAAGGGCCTGGCAACCCAAGCTCCTGGGGAACAGCCAGGGTAGCAGCAGCCACCAGCTGGAGGTGCAGTGCTGCCCAGGGGCTGAGCCTCAATAGCCACTGCCCACCACCACAAGGCTGCATCTGATCGCAGAGGGGTTTGACATAGAATGTAGGTGGCTGGTAATTCCAAGCAGATGCTGATGGTGTGGGTGGGAAGCCCTGTGTCACTCAACTCTTGGTATTCTGTATGTTATATATATGTTTTTCTCAACCCCGGAAGCTTTTGAGATCCTTTTTTTATACATAGAGCTCTGGAATTTGACCGTGATGTGCCTTGGTCTGTGTTTTCACTCAGTTACCATTCAAGGACCCAGAGGCACTCTCCCTGGGTAGGACCAAGCCCAGTTCTACCTGTCTCTCCCTGCTACAGCACTCTCCTTGCTCCCTCCAGACAATTTCCCGTGCCTGCCCGCCGCTCTTGGGGACTGCCATGAGCCGGAGGTTGGACACCTGGAACTGACCTTCTATTTTTCTCATTTATTTATTTTTGTTTCCTATTGTCTCTTTGAACTTTACTTTGCCTTCTGGAGATATAGCCTTATATTTACTGCCCAACAATTTAATTGAATTTTATTTCAGTGATTATTCAAGAGCTCTTTCTTGGTTTTGGTCATTGCTTTTGAAAAATATCATCCTGTTCTCATCTGTGGAGGCATCCTCTTTTCCAGTGTCTCTGAGGATATCACTTACAGCTGAATTTTATTTTATTGTACGTTATGTTGTTTTTGAGAAACTGCTGTCATCATAGTTCACTGTAGCCTCAAACTCTTGGGCTCACACTATCCTCCTCCAGCCTTAGCCTCCCAAGTAGCTGGGAGTATACTAGTTTTTCTATTTTTGGTAGAGATGGGTTCTTGTTCTTGCTGAGGCTGATCTCGAACTCCTGAGCTGAAGGGATCCTCCTGCCTCAGCCTCCCAAAGTGCTGGGATTATAAGTGTGAGCTACCGTGCCCAATCTGGCTTTTTATTTTATTTTTTAAAACAAGTTATTGAGGTGTAACTGATTGACACATAATACGTTCCACTTGAAATGTGTTCTGGGTATGTTTTGAGAAATGTCCAAGCTGATGAAGCCGTCAGCACTGCCATTGTGTTCTGCCCCTTGTCACCCACCTCGTGGCCTTGAAAACTGCATTTTCTAGAGTTCGAGTGGGTGGAGCCACGAAATGAGCTCTTGCTGTGCCTAGTGCCTCTCCTTGGCCTGGGCACTCCAAAGCCCAGCAGCACTGCTATGCTGGGCTCGCTCATTCACACGGCTAGGCAGGATTCCATAGACAGCAGTTCTCACATCCCCCACATTCCCTTCACTGTCCTGCCTCCTCTGACTTGCTCCTTCCTTTTATTCTGACCCCTTCCTGCCTTCCTGCCCACGTCGCTGTAGACTCTTGGCAGCCTCTGTGATCTCCAGCCATCCAGGTCTAACAGGCCAGTGTGAGCTGTGGTCAGCCTGGGGCAGTTCTGGCCATAGGAGGCTCTTCTTGTCCTCCGCTGGGGTGTGAGCCTCGCTGCAGTGGTCTGAGGGGCAGTGGGTGCGGCTGGATGAGCTGCAGTGCCCACCTTTGGCAGGCAGTTTCCTGGATCTCCTGTTCTCAGTTGGGACCCAGTGGCATCTGCCTTCCTGCCTGGTGCCCCTTGGTTGGTCTGCAGACTCGTTGGAGTTTTCTTGAAGAATACACCTCCTTCTGTGGGGTGGGTGCATCTGGGCAGGAAGAAGATACTTTCCCAGAGAGGGAGTGAGACATCAGGTGCTTGGAAACACTGCAGGGCCTGAGGAAGCGGATACCAGTGGGTGTGGGGTGGTGGTCAGCCTACAGGTCAGCTGAGGAAGGATGGGCATAGAGTGCAGACCCCATACACACTTCAAGAGACAGCTACCATGCAGGGCCCCCAAAAGTGTGGACCTAGACAATGATGGCCCCAGGTCTGACCTCATCTAAACCCTGGCGTCATTGCCCCACCCAGCCTGGGAAGAATGACCCCTGCCTCTCCTTCTGAGTCTGGGCCCTGGCAGTGAGAGTGTCTGGGACATGGCAGGTGGGGGGTGTTGGCTGGGGAGTGGGTGCTCTGTTTCCCAATCCCATCCTGCACCCACTGGGCATCCCTCAGAGAGGGTGAGTGGGGGCCAGGGCAGAGATTGCATCATAGGGTCTGCCCCAGAACAGGGGTGGAGAAGCAGAGGGTCAGCCTGTGTCCCCCTCTAGTGCCAGGCCCTCACATTCTCCTGAAGACCAGGAGACACAAAGCCTGACCCCTTACGGGAGCTCAGCAAGGCCCTGAGGGTGGCAGGGGGTTCTGGGTTCTTGGGGAGGAACTGTGGGCCTACCGCACCTATTGGGAAGCCTAGGACTCTTCCTGGGCTGTGGGAGGATGGAGTGAGAACAAGGCTGCACTGCCCAGGAGGGCAGGACAGGTGGGCAGAGGTCCTGGGCTGAGCTGATGTCTTGGGTCAGGAGAAGAGCCCCCCACCAAGTCTGCTGCCTAGCAGGATGTCATTGGTCCACACCCAGGACACCAGACCCAGGCAGGGCCCTGCATTCCACCAGGCAGGGCAAAGAGGTTGCAGAGCCCACAACCAACAGTCTAGAGACAGGTCAGAGGAGGGGCAACCTGGCCCAGGAGAGACAGAGTCAAACACACAGAAAGACAGAGAGAGAGAAGCTACAGGTGCAGGTTGAGTTGGGCTTGGGTGGGAACAGTGCACCCAAGGCTGCTGTGCACCTGACGTCTCTGCTTGGCCAGGTGGGTGGATGACCAGCCTCTGGGCTGGCTCCCAGTACCCCCCCCACCTCAGGCTTTGCAGTGGCCTTGGTGGCCTCCATGGCCGCTGTCCCAGGATCAGCACCAATAGCTGCAGCATTGACAGTGCCCTGTGGCATGTGACAGCATCTCCAGCTGGTGCTGTGCTCACTGTGCATGGCCTGGCTCGCTGGGACTCTGCTGGGGACATATAAGGGACAACCAGCTGGAGTCCTGCACACACTGGGCCAGGCGGCCGTGGCCGAGCTGCTACATCAGCACCTCTGTGAGCATGGGCTTCCTCTTCCTACACCAGGCCAGGCCCAGGCTGCCCCCTCACTATGCCACTGTGTGACCCTCCGGCTGCTGAACCACCCCTGGGCCGGTGGTGTCCTGGCTGCATGAGGAGAGCTCCGCTTTGGGTGGGGCCACACCCACTGCTCATCATGGGCTTCTGCTCCAGGTGGGCACACCCGTACCCCTGACAGCATGCCCTCAAGGCTGTCTGTGTGGTGGCAGTCAACCTGGCCACCTCTGTGGTACATGTGCCCTTACTAGAGAGGCTCAGGGCATGGAGGATGGGACTGAGGTGCCCCACCATCTGAATGGTAACAGCCTTTATTCTGGTGGCCTCCTAGATTTCTGACATCAACTGCCGCCTGGGTACTATGGGTACTCTTTTTCCTGGGACATCACTCAGCCTTGATGTCAGGGGAGGAGGGGAGGTGGCCAAGGCAGTGCAGGAAGTGCTGCAAATGGCCCTGCAGCACTCGTCCTCAGCCCCATGTGTGCCCACGCTTTCCCTCCAGGCTCCATAAGATACAATCTCCCGGGCACAGCCTGATCTTGAGACTTCCGCTGATTTATGGATCCTGGGGATAAGGTCTGTCCCTCAGCACAAATTTAACCCCAAAATTGAGAGACTGCCTCATAGGAATGCCTCCCCTGCCTGCCCTCTAGCAGAGCCAGCCCCACCCTGGCCCCCAAGTTCAGTGTTGAACCCCAGTCCATGCAGGGTTTCTCCTCCAGCCTGTGCCTGAACCCCTGTGAGTGCCAGGGCACCACCCTTGGCAGGCAGTGGGGAGGATGTTAAAAAAAACAACATATTTTCTCCTGTCACCTATAGACTACG